TTCTCCTGAGGCCTCTTCCCTTGGCTTGCAGATAGTGACCTTCTCTCTGTATCCTCACCTGGTCTTTCCTCTGTGCTTGCTTATCCCTGGCATCTCTTTGTGTGCCCAAATTTCCTCTTCTTATAAGGATACTAGTCAGGTTAAATTAGTGCCCATTTTAATAGCCTCATTTTAACTTAAATTAACTTAATTCCCAGCTCTTTTTATGAGGCTGGAAAAATCTTCATACTAAAATCTGACAAGGATGTTACTAGAGAGGAAAGTGCAGGTCAAACTTTGTGTTAAACATTCTAGATGCAAAACCATTAAACAAAATAATAGCCGTCAGATCCAGTAATATATAGAGAGAAGAGTCAAAGTGAAAAGGTAATGCTTGTTTTAGTAATATGGAATTTGTTTTATATATAAAAATCAGTCACTTTAAATTTATTACAAAATGTAAGAGAAGAAACAAAAGATCATATTAGTAGATACAGGAAAAACACTTGAAAAAATTCAATGCCAATCATTAAAAATTTCCAGCAGTCTACGAATAGAAAGGAGATTTCTTAATCCCATGATGCATATATACAAAATCCTACATCTATCATCCTAATTATGGTAAATATTTGACACTTTCTCCCAGTGACTGGGACCAGGACAATCAGGACCACTATCACCACTGCTATTCAACATTGTATTGGGGGTCTTAGGCCATGAAATAAAATAAGACAAAGAATTAAAAGATATTAAGATTGGAAATGAAGAAATAGGACTGTCATCATTTGCAGATGATATCATTAAGTGCTTGGAAAATCACCCCAGATATACAAACAATTAGAATTAATAAGTAAAATAGCAAATTTACTAGATACAAAACCCCATATTCAAATATATGTTGTATTCATATATACTGGCAAAAATAGACAACTGTTTTGTCATTTACAATAGCAAGAAAACTACCAATATCCTAATAATAAATACAATAATAAATGTAATAAAAATGTGCAAGAGTGCTATATTAGAAACTCCAAATCACTGTGCAGAGAATTTTTAGTAATATCTAAATAAATGAAAAGATATATCATATTCATTGATTGAAAGGCTCAGATTCAATGTATTTGAAATAAAATGCTCAAAGGGTACTTCTGATAGAATTGACAAACTGTCTCTAAAATATATGTGCAGGTGGAAAGGACCTAGAATAGTAAAGGAAATCTTGCAAAGGAAGAACAAATTTGGAGGAATTTTACCACCACATAGCAAGACTTATTCTAAAGCTATGGTGATTAATAAAATATACTATTGATGTAAAGATAAAGAAAGAGATCATTGGAACAAAATACATATGCTGATACAAAACCACATACATATAGCAAAGTGTCACTGCAACTCAAAGGGGAAAATGATAGATTTTTCAAAAGATGGTGCTGGGTCAACTGGATATACAAAGGAAAACAATGTGGACATTGGCCTCTTCTGTAAACTATTCCCTAAATTAATTCAAGATGAATTAAAGCCCTAAATGTGCAAGGTAAAATAATAAAATTTACAGAGGAAAACAGGAGACTATCTTCATGAACTTTGGGTTGCCAAGGATTCCCTGTATAATAAGCACAAAAAGCAATAACCATAAAAGATAGGTAAATTATACTTTTTTAAACTTAAGAATTTCAGTACATCCAAAGACACCATTAACAATGTGAAAAGGCACAGAGTGGGAGATGTTTTTAATAAGTACATCTGACAAAAGATTTATGTCTAGACTGTATACAGAACTCCTTAAAATCAGTAAGAAAAAAGACAATAGATAATAAATCAGATGGTGGGAATCTGGGTAGTATCTCTTGTGATGATGGCTGATAAGCTGGTCACCGTAGGGGTCCTCTTTCAAGGACAGTGTCAATCAGCTCCCTCTCAGCACAATACTGACACATTATTTTTAATTCTCTGGGAAGAACCTCCATTTTTGACAGAACATTTCTGCTTCAGTGTCTGTACAGGGTATAGTAGATGGCCAGTAATCATCTATTTCCATCTCTCCCAAGTGAAGCTTCCTGTACTACAGAGGCTAGAAGGTTAAAACTACATTTTCCTAGCTCCCTTGCAGCTAGGTGTGATTCAAGCTTTTTCTGGGAGTTTTCTAAGGTGGAAATAAGGCACCTTCTAATTCAGTTGTTTTGTGCTAACAAGCATTGTTATGGACAAATTGGGATTTCCTGCAGAGGAACACAGGTGAGGGGCGTCAGTTGTTTTGCTAATTCACATCTAGGAGCATGGCACACTCCAGAACATGGAATTCTCAAAGTGTGGTCCCCAAACCAACACCAGCAGCAACATTTGGCAGCTTGCCTAGAAATGTAAATTGCTTTCTGACTGTTCTGTGTTTGTCTATTTGTTACCCATTAACCACAGGTCCAAATTAACCACCAGAGTTGTTTACATTTCCTGCTACCACCTCATTTATCTAGCTCTCACATGTCAAGCCAATATTTCTCCTGCCCTAAATAAGCCCAGATAACTAGGGACAGGCCCTATGCCCCCAAACTCCCCAGATTATTAAAATGATCTAATCCTAAACTGTTTACTCTGACTTGCCTTTCCTTTCCTATGGAAATCCCAATAAAGTCTGTAACTTGTGCCTTCCTCTTGCTCTTTTCTGCCTCCTGACCAACACCAGGAACTTCCCCCTGTGGCCCTGAGTAGTTTCTAGAGGAACTGTTTCTAGGGAAACTGTAAGTAACATCAAACCTCTCTTTAGTGGCATTGGCCTCTCCCTGTCTTCTCTCACTCACCTTTGTAAATTAAGACCTGGCTGACTTGCCTTCTGTCATGATAGATAGCTTTCATACTAAATTTTGAGAGCAACTTTCCTAGAGAGAACACTGCTGTTGCAGAAGCCTACAGATATCTGCACTACAGTTCAGGCAATAGACCCCTGAAATCAACGGTTCCAGCAGCAGCATTTTGATTTCCTGTTTTCTTCATTGTAGACAATGGCAACCTCTCTGGGAGACTGTTACTGCAGGGTTGTTTTGGGAATCATTTCTTCAGGGGTGAATTAGAGCTGGCACCTCCCTTCATCCCTCTGTGCCAAAAATTTTGTAAGCTTCTGTGTTCTTATTAATCCCCCTTTTGCTTAAAATAGCTTGAGAGTCTTTGTTTCTTAAGTAAATTTTTGACATATAACACAATATTAATGTGGAAAAGTACATAAACCATAATTTACGGCTCAAGAAATTTCCACAAAGTGAACACACCTATGTAGACAGCACCCAGAATGAGAAACAGAACCATTCCCAGCATCTCCAACAGCCCCTCTCATGGCCTTTCTCTGCTTTCAACAATCACCTTTCTGATTTCTAACGCCAAAGATTTGTTTTGCCTGGTTTGAACTATATATAAATAAAATCATGAGCTATGTATGCCTTTATGTCTGGCATCACTCCAATAATATGTTGTGAGATTCTCCCAGTTTGTGTGCAGTTGAAATCATTTATTCTCATTGCTCTATATTCCTTTGTATAAAAAGCAATTATTTATCTTTTCTATTGCTGATGGACTTTGGATTGTTTCCAGTTTGGGACTAAAATGGGTAGAACGATTTTGTTTCATGAAGCTGAACTCAGGTTCACTTCTTTTATCTGAATCGATTCTGCCAGGCTATCTTTTTTTTTTTTTTTTTCAGTCCATACATATTAATGGAGAGAAAAATACACAAGGTTGAAACTTACAAGGATCTCTGTTTATTTTATTGTAAGTGAAAAAAGTGATTAAATTCAGTTCATCTTGATTGCAGTCAATTTTTTTGAGGGGGGGAGGCTCAGATTTTTTTAAAGCATGAAACGTTCTGTCATTTCTTCAAACTAGAGTCCCAAAGGAATTTACCTACAATGTTATAGGCTTGTTAAAAATGTGTAGACCAAATAAAAGGGCTGTGATATGACTAAATATGGCACATCTGTATCACAACTTATATTTTACTTTAAATTTGCAATTAGTTATGTTATAACTTGCCATGATTTTTGCAGAATGTTTATGTGATTTTCATTTTGAAAGGAAAGACAGTTCAAATAATAGGCTGCTTAGCTAAATATGGAATCTGGCTTCTCTACCCAAAACTCGGCTTAATACTCAGAGCAGACTCCCTTCCTTCCATTAAACCATGAGATTTCTTAGAGTTGATTTTATTTCGGTGGAAAACAATCTCTCCTCATCCCCTGAGCCGCTGCACTCTTCTCTTCACCACTCTGCTCCCTCTGCCTCTTCTGTTTGGACCGCTTGACAGATCTCTCTGTCTTCGGTTTCTCCTCCTCCCCTTCTTTGTCTTCCCCCTTGTCCTCGTCCGTCTTCTTCTAAAAATTAGATTAAGACCTCCTAAGCAGGCTAGACAAAAATCATTTTCAGGACTTTGGAAAACTTTGTGACTGAGAAACTAAGGTCGAAATATAAGGAGAAAAACAAAAACAGAAACACAACAACCTGTTGCGTTGGTTAACTTTAGAAAGAAATGGCCCCTGCGCGGGCCAAAAATCAAACCAGATTATGAGCCTGAAGCCTTAGCAATATCGTGGTGAGGGAATACCAAGGCAGCTTTCCACGTCATTTTTCGCGCGGTCCACCTGGGACACAAATCAGCGGAAGCAATTTTCTGCCTGGAACCCACTTGGCACAGCGGCCTTCATCCCGGAGCAGACCCTTGGAAGTCCGAACATCCCGGACTAGAAAACGGTTAGGTCCTGACTCTCCCTCGATACGGGCTAGGTTTGGTGCCAGTGCATGGGGATTGCAGACGCTCCCCAGAGGCTGCGCCCCGGAGTGTTATTTGAAGTTTGCTGGTAACGCTAATGCCCACGCGGTGAGGGCTCTATCTCATTCCGGTGTTCTTGATTCCAGGGGGTGTCCGAGGTTGGCCTCTCTTCCTAATTCTCGTTTCACCTCAGCGTTTCCACTCAGCTCACCAAGGACACGTGCTTGTACCTGCCACGTGATTTCTGTCACTCCACCTTCGCTCTACAGGTGTAGTTGTAGCCGAGTGGTTAAGGCGATGGATTAGAAATCCATTGGGGTGTCCCCGCGCAGGTTCGAGTCCTGCTGACTATGGTACGCTTTTTTCCTCCCTGAATTTATACTTAACCTCTTAAACTGATCAGTTTGACAATCTGAAGTTACCCAGAAAGCAACTCGCTAACCGTTTCTCACCACAATAACGCAGGCTTCTAGACGAAACTTGTCCCATTCCGGCCCGGACATCACTCAAAACGCACGCAGCTCCTGTCCTGCGATGATTAAAACAACAACCCCAAGCCTTTCTTTGAGCGAAATGCTCAAACCCCCACCTCAGATTTTCTTGTCCACGGAATTACACACTATGTGAGAGAACACACACAAAATATATCTCGCTTAGAAAAGTACACTTCATGAAATCCTGACTCACTGCTCCGTTTGCAGGGAGTCGAATCTGAGATATTCCATTTATGATTCTAGTAAGAATCGTTACACCAGCAAGCAAACCAACATTATCTCGCTAGATGACCCAGCCCAGGAGCCTGTGATACAGGTGAAACAAGAGGTACTCTTCACTAGGTGCTTTTTTTTTTTAGTATAGTGGTGTGTGCGCTGGTCTGTTACCTGCAATACAGGGGCTCGGTTCCCAGGCAGGATATTTAAGTCATCTTTCTGAATTTTGTGGCTCTGACAACCTATTCTTGTTCTTCCACTCAAATGTTAAGTTTCTTCTTCTTTTAACTTATTCTTTTCAAGACAACGAAATGTAATGAAAAAGAAGCGAGCAGAATAAATCATGTGATGAGTAACACAAAAGGAAACTCGTAACTTGACAGGGGAGAAACTTGTCAGATACCCCCTTAATCAGTTGATCATAGTTAGTATTTCAAGCATTAGGACATTCAACATCATGCGCCTCCTATATGATGAAATGCACGGGACACAACCTCACTAGTGTGGTATTCGTGCTGAAAACGCATTATCTGAATTTAACTCTCAGGAAACAACAGACGAATTCAAAGTGAGGGGGCATTCTACAAAATATCTGACCTGATTTTTCAAAATGTCAATGAAATGAAAAACAAAGCAAGATTGAGGAACTCAATCCAGATTAAAGGACTAAAGAGACATGTCAGCTGAATGTAATGTATTTTTCTTGAAATAAAGGATTCACACTATTGGCAAAACATTAACAAGGTGTGTAGATTAAATGAGTTTCAACCCTGATTTTATAATTATTCCATGGTTAGGAAGGAGAAGGTCCATGTTTTAAGAAAGTACATAATGAAGTATTTAAGGTAAAGGGACACTTTGTCTAAAATTCACTCAATAGTTAAGAAAAAAGTTATACATATGTAAATCTGTCTATATCTATCAAGAAAAATAAAGCACATATGATAACTTGTTAACATTTGGGGAATCTAGGTAAAGGATTTATGAAAAGTCTCTGTACAACCCTTGCAATTTTTTCATAAATTTGAAATTATATCAAAATAAGTTAGACAAGGAAAAGAAACAGATAGAACAATAATAAAAATACACTCATGGAAATTAAACCCCAAATACAGTTTGAACATTAGGTGTAACATAGGTGATGAGGAAACTATTATATATAATATTAGACCTGATGGAAGAATAGTATGCAAAATTCTATAGCAAGCAAGGCAATAAACATTATTTTTAATGATGACTGATATTTAAGATATAGGTACAAGATGGAAGTATTACACAGTAGTATTATGCATGGTTGGAGTGTGTGAATATAATAAAGTAATTTTGGGGTCTAATGGTTTTGTATCAGGTGAAAATGAAAAGTGCATTTACATCAGCTTTTCTGTGACATCACCATCAAAGTTCATAATTAAGAAACACCTGTCTAGACTATAAAAATAAACCTGAAAATTTAATCAACATTTTAATTTAACTATTAATTATTACCATTATGTTATTTAAATGTTAGTGTTTATTACAAACTATTAGGTATAAAATAAGCTACAAAGCTATATCATACAACATGGGGAGTATAGCCAATATTTTATTATAAGTGGGGTATAACATTTAAAAATTGTGAATCACTGTATTGTATGCTTGTAACCTATATAATATTGTACAGCATCTATACTTCAATTTAAAAAATTTAATTTAATTTAAAAAACAAAACAAAACAAAATGTTAGTGGTTAAAATATTAAAACGTGATACTGTGTAACAGTTATTCACTAAATTATTTCTTCAGTCACTCTACTTCACATTTGAAGTAATATGTAGATGCCCAATTTCAGCTAAGCTTAACGATTATTTGTCTGCGTTTCTTCTTTTCATTATAGACCATATACAAAATGTATGTGTGTATAACAAGTGGAAATTAAAATTCAAATATTCCATTTGCAGCAAAAATGTAAAAGTCTAGGAATAAATCTAACAGAAGATGTGCAAGAAATCTATATTAAAAACTACAAAACATTCCTGGTGGAAATTAAATGGAGGAAAGTACTATGTTTATTATTCTGGAAGACTTAATCTTGTCAAAATGACAACTATTTCCAAATTGATCAACAGATTCCATGAAATCCCAATCAGCCTCCAAATATGTATTTTACGGAAGTTAACTCAGTTTCAAAAACACATTTGGAAATGTAGAGCAAATTAAAAAACAAGAAAATATTGAAGATAGCAAAATTGGAGGAATTACACAAATATATATCAAGACATATGTAATTACTTATAAATCTACAGTAACTAAAACGGTAAGCTATTGGTTATTATATATAAGTAAGTACAAAAACGTTATCTTCATCTCTGTATCAACTTGGCCAGGATGAACTACATTCCCCAGAATTCCTTTTCCTGTGTGTTTCTGGCTGGATGGTCCCCAAGAGATATTCTTGTAGGAAATTTGGAGGGAGAAAGTCAAGTCGAAGCCATTCTGTAGCTCACATTAACTCATCTGCTGACTTGTCATGTGGCAACATTTGGGCCTGCAGCTGCCTCACCTTCCCCTGGATCCTGCTTCACCCTCCTCCTTTCCTGGACCAAATGTGTGTGTTTACCTCCAAATGAAGGGATCTGGCTGCTGCTCGACACCTGCACCACCAAGGTCAGGGGCAACCAGAGCTGACACAGGTATCAATCCATTGCATGGAGCTCATCTTTCCTTCTTGACAACCTTCTCTGTGGATTTCGAGCTTCAGCATTATAGAGACTATTTTACCAATCCCTACAAATCTCATACATATATGAAATGTATATATCCATCCCAGTGGTTCTGCTTGTCTTATTGAACCCTGACTGAAATTTTTACTTTCATATTTTTGCTATTACAAACAATGCTGCAGTGGACATTGTAATCATGTAAATCACCAGCTGTTTCTAACCTGTTTCCGAGTAGGTCAAAGTGATGATTTCACACAAGCTATCTAATCTCCCACTCTCTCTTCAGTGTGCTTATGAGTGTCCAGGACTATTGGAAGACGAGCTGTTCAAAGGCAAGTGTGCAGTGGAGGTTGGAAGTTAGGATCTGACTCCACCTCGGAGTAAGCAAAGTTTGGTTCTAGTTGCAGACCCTCCAGAGCCCAAGCTCAGACCACAGCCTAGTCTCCAGGGCCGGCAGGCATTCGCTCAGAGTTTACTGAATTGACTTGTTTGCTTGAAACACCGATGATCATGCGGTGAGGACTCTCACACAAGTGCTCTCGATCGCGTAGGAGGCATGAGAGGTTGGACTTAAATTAAAAAAAAAAAAAAAATCAAACCCTTATTTTACCTGAAGGCTTGTATTCAACTCTCAAAACCTACTTTCTTGTATGCTGAGTAATGGTCACCCTGGTTTCCCTTCTTTCTTGTCTATAATTTAAAAAAAACAAAAAACAGTGGGGACGTTGAGTAGTCGTGGCCGAGTGGTTAAGGCGATGGACTAGAAATCCATTGGGATTTCCCCGCGCAGGTTCGAATCCTGCCGACTACGGCAGTCGCTTCTTTTTCCAAGTCAAAGTAGTTGGGAATTGCTCCGCCGAGAGAACATGGAAACGAAACCACAGCTTTGCGAGATCTTGACTAAACTTATTGTGTTCTTTGCCCAGGCCCAAACTCCACGGCTATGGGGAACGGAAGTTATTATTTCATTACTTTTTATTAAAATTAAAGGTGCCTTAATAAGTAGAGCCCTAATCATTTTCCCGCCAGCGGAGCCTCCGCACAGTTCGCCGGAGCACTTTGAGTCTCCCTGCCCTCCAAACCCCCTGGAAGCCTATATTTTCAAGACAAGTCTTTGTAGTTTTTCTTCCTCAATGGAAAGGAGCCCTGTTTCCTAGCCCAGTCTTCGGTCAGTTAGCAGGGAGATTCCGAGGAATCAATGGTTCAACTGCTTTGCTCTACTGGATTCGCTGTTTGCAAACCTAGTACGACAAATCGTCAATGAAACCGACGCCATCACTGTCAAAAGAGCAGGCTGTCCTGCCTGGCCTGCAGTTTCAGCTCCGGGGCGGAGGTGGGTGGAGCGAGAGGGCTGAGAGAAGGGCTGGAGCGACACTTGGTTGGTCGCGGACGAGTCCGAGGGAGTTCAGGCTCAAATTTGCCAAAGGTAATCTATAGTAGAACACAAAATCTGTCGGCTAAAAGAACACGAACACTAGTACTTACATTTATTAGGTATCTTTAAGAGGTGAATGTTAACTTACTCCTCGTTAGTATAGTGGTGAGTATCCCCGCCTGTCACGCGGGAGACCGGGGTTCGATTCCCCGACGGGGAGATAGTGTCATTTTGTATCTCGTCATGTATTTTAGAATTCCCAACAATCGTGTTGTCACTGCTTAGAATCGAATATTACTCACCTTTCTTTAACACGAAAGCTGCAGAACTCACTCTGGTTAGCGATCTTCAACAGGTGACCTCAGATTCTGCGGAAGTTGCTGCGGCTTCTGAATTCTGGAGTGTGTTCGGCGATAGCCACTACTGGGCTCTGGGACTGGGAACTGAACTACACAGGGACCCTTCTGCCAGTTCTTCTCAACTACAGCCCCCTCCCCCGTTTCCGTCACTTCTAGACCCGGGGCTCTAATCAGAAAATATTTCAGCGCAAGTATCAAAGCTACTTTAAGGCCCAGAGGGAAATCTAGGTTTAAGTGACACAGGACTGAGAGTGCTCATTGAGAGTTAATGAGATTATGGTTGTCTGGCACCTGCCTTCTATTTAAATGCAGAAAGAACTACTGAGGCCAAATGCCAAGATCAAAAATCCCACGTTCAAGACCTCCGTCCTCCTAGACATCAAACTCTGGAATGATGATACCGAACTGGCACAACTGAGGGCCATGTGTGCTACATCCAGCTGAACTGGCTGGCCTAGGCAACTCGAAATTGGTGCCCCTGGATGCATATAAAGGGTGTGGAGGAAGACGACAAAAAGTGATGACAGACTTGCGGGAAGAGGAGATTCCCAAGTTCCAGGGGCATGTGAGGAGTGTCAACATTGCTGCTTTCAACAAGATCCGAAGCTCCAAGTAATGTGCTTGTGACTGTACATCAGACTTTACAAATTAAAGCTTTCTGAAGGGGGGCGGGGAACTCAGGAATGGATAAACTGATGGAACAGAAGAATGCATCCTAAACAGACCCACTTATACAGTCACTTGATTTAAAACAAAGGCCACCCTGCAGTGCACTAGGGAGAGACCGTTCTTTTCAATAAATTGAAATTCAATAAATTGGTGGCTCAGTTGGATATTATGGAAATAAATGAATCACGATGTACACAAAACTCTGATGAAATGTATATTTAAACATGAAATAATGCTTCTGAAAGATAACTTAGGATAATATCTTCATGACTTTGGACTATGCAAGAATTTGTAAAACAGAGCACAAAGAGCAGTTACCACAAAAGATATATTTATATATTAGACTTCAGCATTGGAAACTACTGTCCACCAGTAAGCAAGTACAAGACAAATCTTAGAGAAGATATTTGTATTACATATGCCTAACAAAAGACTGTGTCTAGAATATAGATTCAGATATAGATGCATTGTTATGACTTTGTTAAATTAACAGTTGTTAAGTAGAGCACAGGATGCCAGATGGTGAGTCAGTCAAGTTTCAACAACAGACTACAGAGAAATTGAAATAGAGAAGTTTATTATTCACAGGTCCTGGAGGAAGTTCTACACCGCATACTTCAAGGGGCCACATGGGGGAGGTCGAGGCAGAGTATAGACAAGACAGAGCAATAGGACCTGGGGCACATGTTTTTATTAGGGTCCATGGGTGGAGTTCTTTGGGGTTCCCAGACTAAGGCGGGATTGATCAATTCAAACCAAAAGAGAGAGTAAGTTCTTTTGGTAAATTCCAAAGGGGTCTAATCTAAGGGGTACACAAGGGAATGGTCCTGTGCAGGGATGACAGTTGATCACAAGGGCTGTTGGGGAGGTAATATCAGTAACTTACATTTGTTTGAGACTCTGTAGGCCGCTATCTAGGGCATGCACTTGCATGACGAGGCTAGTATCAGCTCAAGGTCCCTGCACACCACTTGGCCAAACAAATTGGATGCTAAGGCAGTAATACCATGGAATAGCTTAGCTAAACTCTTGCCATGTATAAACACAGATAGATGTGAATAAGAAAAACAAATATGGAAAGGATAGACAATCCATTAGAAAAATGGGCAAAAGAGTTCTACAGGTCCTTCACAAAAGATATATCAAAATAACCAATAAACATACAAAAGGGTGATCTTCATTCATCCTCAGAAAAAGTGAAAAGTAAAACAATTAGATTCCACTATTCTATTTGTTAGAGTTTACCAGAGAAACAAAACCAATAGGATGTGTGAAGGAGATTTATTCTGAGGAACTGGCTCATGTGATTATGGAGGCTGGCAAGTCCAAAATCTGCAGAGTGAGCAGCAAGCCGGTGACCCAGGAAGAGTTGATGCTGCAGTTCAAGTCTGAAGGCTGACTGTTGGCAGATTTCCCTCTTACGAGGGAGACCAGTCTTTTACTTTATTTTTGCAATTGGATGAGGCCCATCCATGTTATGGAGGATGATCTGCTTTACTCAGAATTCACTAATTTAAATGTTACTGTCATCCAAAAACACCCTCAGAGAAACATCACAGAAGCATGGATTAATGGTTGACCACATATCTGGGCACTGTGGCCCAGCAGGTTGACACATAAAATTAACCATCACAAATATTTACTTACTAGAAGGGTTAAAATAAAATAACAAAAGACAGGTAATACCAAGCACTATCAATGATGTGGAGCAACTGGACTCTCTCATACATGGGAATATAAATTGGTTCAATCACTTGCAAAATTGTTTTGGCATTACATACTAAAGCTTGAGCCTACACAATGACTGCAATTGTGACTCTGCAATTCCGTCCATAAGTGTCTCCACCCAGCAAAAATCCTTGTTTGTATTCACTGAAAGACATATATAAGAATATTCATGGCAACACTATTTATAATAGCCCAAATTGGAAACAATCCAAGTGACTTTGTAGAGGAGGTGGATTTTAGAAATGCCTTGACATCTGGGGCTGATTTTGAAGAGTGGAGATGGTGCAAAGATGCCTGTCAGAACAAGGGGCTTCTGTGACCGAGGAAGCTCAGAATAAGAGTGTCCGGAAGGGGTGAGGACATTCCTGTATTTGGTACCCTGCTGGCTTCTCTTCTGTTCCATCCCGTCCATCTCCTAGCCTTCCTCCTTCTCATTCTCTCCCTCCCTACCCCCTCCTGTTTCTCCTTCCTTTTGTTTTTCCACATATTCTCTGCTCCTACCTGGACCTTTTCTTCCCACTTTCTTCTGCATGTTTTTGCATGTTTCTGAATTCATATTTTGTTTCCTGAATCAACTGTAAAGCTCCGATAAATGTTCACAACCATGTTTAAGTAGGTCGACAAAAAGCAAACAACACAATCAAAAAATGGGCAGAAGATCTAAACAGACATTTCTCCAAAGAAGACATACAGATGGCCAAAAAGCACACGAGAAGATGCTCAACATCACTAATTATCAGAGCAATGCAAATCAAAACTACAATGAGGTATCACCTCACACCAGTCAGAATGCCCTTCTGGAGAACAGTATGGAGGTTCCTTAAAAAACTAAAAGTAGAACTACCATATGATCCAGCAATCCCACTCCTGGGCATATATCAGATGAAACCATAATCCGAAAGGATACATGCACCTCAATGTTCATTGCAGCACTGTTTACAATAGCCAAGACATGGAAGCCACCTAAGTGTCCATCAACAGAGGAATGGATAAAGAAGATGTGGTACATATATACAATGGAATGTTACTCAGCCATAACAAAGAATGAAATAATACCATTTTCAGCAACATAGATGGACCTAGAGATCATCATACTAAGTGAAGGAAGTCAGACAGAGAAAGACAAATATCAAATGATATCACTTATATGTGGAATCTAAAAAAAGTTACAAATGAACTTATTTAATCTATAGAAACAGAGTCATGGATGTAGAAAAAAACTTATGGTTACCAGGGGGAAAGGAGGGGAGGGATATATTGGGAGATTGGGATTGACATATATACACTTCTATATATAAAATAGATACCTAATAAGGACCTACTATTTAGCACAGGGAACTCTACTCAATACTCTGTTAACCCCTATGGGAAAAGAATCTTTAAAAGGGTGGATATAGGTATATGTATGTATAACTGATTCACTTTGCTGTACAGCAGAAAGTAACACAACACTGTAAATCAACTATACTCAAATAAATTTTTTTAAAGTCTATGATTCAGATACCATTTTATTGTGCAGTGTTGGGCGAGTCAATTCTCAGTTTCTTCCTCTTTAAAATGGTGCTAATATTATCTACCTGATAGGGTTCTATTGGTGATTAAGTGAGATAATCCATGTAATGCCAATTCAATGTCTGGGGCATAGTAAGGCTTCAAAAATTGTAGCTGTTAGAATATATACTGTTTTTATGAATCTTGAGTTCCCTAGAACAGATAGTAGCAGTGAAAGCACCTCCACCCTAGGAGAGGATGGAATCTGACTTGGAGGCTGAGAGAATCCAAGTTGGCATGACCTGTAAATGAGGAAAAAGGAACAACCTTCCTCGATTCAGGATTTGATATCATGCTCACACCGTAGTAGACTTATTCCTCCATTTCAAACTGTCAGTGTTTCAGGAGACAGGTTATTTGACTTAAGGGAAATAGGTGACGAATGACACAGAGTAAACAAGAGACTACAGAGCAGTTTCCGTTGATAGTGCCAGGAAACTATGCAAAGGAGCCTTCGTTAGTTGCGGTTAAAACCGTAGTCGGCAGGATTTGAACCTGCGTGGGGGGACCCCAATGGATTTCAAGCCCATCGCCTTAACCACTCGGCCACGACTACCTACTGAAAACCCTTTCTTGTTAACGCTTTTAAGGTATAGCGAGCAGCGTGCCATTTAATCGCTGTGAATCAAAACATAGTGAAAGCTATTTTGGTACATAACTATTAGGTCTGGTAACAAAGAATTTCCTATGTCCATTCAGGGCTTCTCACGCTTGGATGAAACAAGTCATCCACGGCAAACTGAAATTCAGCGGAGGAAGATGGAACTCAAAGAATCATTCTGAGACAAGGGATTCGAATTTTCTATGCCCTAGAACTGAGGGTGGCCCTAGTAGCCTCAGACCTGCAAGTGCCAATGGAACTGGAACCGGGCTGGAAGAAATCTGGGGAAATCCGAAATCGTGGGGCCAGTAGCGTTTGCTTTTCAGCGTTAAACACTAAAACAGAAATATCTTCAATGGCTTTCAACTGCTTTTACCTTTCCCTGCCTTAAAAGAACTACTTGAAACCGGACTTGAGCCGGGTGTGGGGTGAGAGGGGTGGGGAGGGTCCAGGAACTGAAGGAAAAGATGCTGGGAAGATCTCCAACCCCTCAGGAAAAGTTCACTCCTTTTCGCCTTCCCCAGAGAGGATAGCCCAGGAGCCTTACGAGGGAGAAGCAGCCTGAGGACATTCCCTATCTCTCTTAACACACAAGGCTGTGAATGCCAGACAAAATCTAGCTGCAGTAATAGGATTTTTTCTGGGTTTAGAGACTTGATTCAGTGAAACACTGTAGAAATGGATTCTTTTTTCCTTTTTTTTTCTTTTTTGTTTTAAATGGGGAATTTAGGACTATAGCTCTGAGTTCTGAGAATTGAAGCACTTTGCCAAAAACACCGTCAAGTAGATTCAGACAGACTTTCAGTTACAAACGGGAGAATGCCTTTCATGGCTGAGGCCCTCAAACTCTTTCATACGCAGAGCTCTCCCATATCTGTTGTCATTTACGACAGGCAAAGAGAGAGTTGTTCCTGTAGTGGGTTGAGTTGTGTCACCCAATAAGATATGTTGAAATCCTAATTCGAGATACCTGTGAATATGACTTTATTTGAAAGTAGTCCTTGCCAGTGCAATCAAGTTAAGATGAGGTCATACTGGATTAGGGCGGGCCCTGAATCCAATGATAGCGTCCTTATAAGGAGAGGGAGATTTGAGACATACAGAAAAACAGACACACAGAGACGGAGATTGTGTGAAAGGGAGGCAGAGACTGGAATGATGCAGCTGCAAACCAAGGAGCTACAAGGGTTTTCAGCAACCACCAGAAGCTAGGAGAGAGCCATGAAACAGAGTCTCCTGCAGACCCTCTAGAACCAAACTTGCAGACACCTTGAATTTGGATTTCTGGCCTCTGGAACTGTGAAAGAATAAATTACTGCTGTTTTAAGCCACCCACTTTGTGGTAATTTGTTAAGACAGCCCTAGGAAGCTAACACTGTTCCCCTCTCCTTAAGCTTGGAACAAGATCCTTCTTGCCACTTTAGCAGTTCTAAATTCCACCAGCAAGGCTCATGCAAATAGTTACTCCCTTTCAGATGGTAAACTCATTTTGAACAAAACTCTCCTAGGGAGGTAATCCAAACTAAAAGAAATCATTTATGTGCAAAGACATTTATGATACTTTTAGTTATAACAATAAAATAATTAAACATTTTCAATAATGGGGAGGGGGATCATTATATAACTTGGGGTATATATACCTGGAAGAATATTACCAAGCCATTGAAAATAATATTTTGTAAGAAGTTTTGAATAGCTCAGGGGAGAAGCACAAGATATAATGTTAAATGAAAAGAGTAGGATAAAAAAATATATGTGCTATATGACCTCAATTATGTAAAATTTGTGGGGGTGGGAGATAATAAACCAAAGTGTTGCTAGTGTGGTTTCTGGGTTGTGTGATTGAGGGTTATTATTTTTTTCTCTTTGTTTTTCTATGATGTGAAGCAAACATCATTACTCAAGTTTTAAAAGTGAGGAAGCAGAAATAGTGATTTTATTGCTGGAAAAAGAAAAACGTAGTCTCTAGATACAAGACTTTCGTATTACTCCGTAATCAAACATTGAGCTCAAGTGGTCATTTTCCAAGGGGACTACTGTTTGCTATGGTGGTGAAACCCAGGACTTTATCTTTGCTTTCTTATGATGCTTGTAAGTTAACAATAAATGTAATTAAAAGAGGTGTAATCTCACAGTGATGAAAAGAGCAGGAGAGCAAATAACAGATGGTAAGAAACATTTTTTGCTTTCCAAATTGCAGTAGCATGAGGCAGTTGAGATTTATTCCTTACTCGTGTAAGAGTCCATTGTAGATTTTTGAGTCAGCAAAGAAAAGGGAACATATTTTTGCCCTTGTGCTGATTCAGGGACCCAGCTTCTTCCACCTTAAGGATCTGCTATCTCCTAAGACTTGTGAAAGTCCATGCTTCTTAAAAGTCTAAAGGGAAACATGTTACTTTTGCATTCATAATCCATTTATTATTACTAATCACACAGCCACACTGAGATGTAAGTTGTCTTGGTAGATACAGATGCTGACTGGGTAGCTTATTCCCATAGACAGCTCTGTATTATGGAAGATGGAACATGAATTTAGGTGAATACTACAATTACCAACAACATTTTGGGAGGTAGAAAGGTGTTGGATAAATAGTAATTGAATTCGTAGAGTGACTAAAGCTGAAACCTTACTGTCTGCAAGGTGGAAAGCTAAAAATTATAAAGTTATTAACATCTGTAAAGGATATTACAGATCCTTGGAAAGGCTAACAGGAATTGAAAAAAACAAACAAACCAACATGTAACCTTAGGCTTATTACTCTGGATTGCCCCTCTCTCACAGAGGTCAAAGACAAGACTTTTATTTTAGGGCAAAAATGCTCCAAGATGCTCTTAACTTACAGAGACTAGGCACAGCTGAAGTTGGAGGTGAAGAGCCATACTGAATACTGGGGGATTGAATGAAAGTCTCTCTGGGACACCCCCAGCTCCTTTTCTGTATTCGTTTCAGAAAGTATGGAAAGCTACATAACCTCTGATCCTAAACACTTAGAAGATTAAAGGATTAGTCTCTGAGAAAACTGTCATGGAAAAACTGAACCACAGATATGAACATATCAGGTAACCTGACTGCAGTGGTCTGTCATATACAATCATTCTAGAATGGGTCCATCTACTGGTATACAGGCTTATAGTACCAATTAGGTTTTTGGGTCTACTTCTTAAATAAGACTGGACTGCTAAGGGTCACCAGAAATCTGAGGAAAGATATGCACTGAAGCAAACAAATGGAAGAAAGAGAACCTGATGGAAATAGAGACCAGTAAGTAACAGAAAGAAAAAAAAAAGTATTATTACTTTTTTCAGAACCAAAAGAACATTTTGCACCTATGGGACAATAAGAGTTGCTATTATTTTTGAAAGAGCAACAAGAGAACAAGAACTCTTGAAAATTTTTAAAAACTGTGATGATAGGAAAAAATTTAATAGAAGGGTTGGACGATAAATTTGGAAATGTTTTCCCATAAAAAGGACGAGAAAAGAAAGACGGAAAATGGGAGGACAGAAGATAAGAAAATTAAAAGGTAATTCTAGGAAGTCCAATAACATCTGATTGAAAGAGTTCCAGGAAAAGACAACAGAGAAAATAAAGGGGTGACAATTAGTTATAAAGGCAAAAAAGTCCCCAAACCTAAAGCATCCACCTATTTATTGCTCCACACAATGAATGAAAAAGACCAAGAATATACCAGAGCGTCTATTTAAGAATGACATTTAACTCCATCACCACAGTGATACCTAAAAGACAAAGGAGTCATGCTCACCAAATTCTAAGATAAAATGATTTCCACTCTAGAAATCTCTAGCTGACCAAACTAAATCATTTATGAAGTTAGAATAAATATCTTTTCAGAAATGCATTATATTTGGTGGTGGGAGGGGATAACCTGGAAGCAGAAACCTCCTGAGGACTTAAATCTGGGTGTCTCTAATGCAGGGAAATCAGAACCCAGGGGTGGGCGTTGGGGGGAATCACATTCTGGCAGCAGGCCTGTCTGGTAGGGTCTGGAGTCATGGAGGAGACACAACTGCTGTTGCCAGGTGATGTTACATGAGGCAGAGAAGCAGTTACGGTGCAGCCTCTACAAGCTGGAAGTATTTCCTTCCACATACGAGACATCTTTATGCAACACAGGTTGTCTTGGCTGAATGCCGATTTGTCTCCAGGGTTCTTGCTCAGAAGGTTCAAATACGCACAGCTACGATTCTTTACTCTTAGTAAAGACGTTTGCTTTTCTCCTCAACCCTTCGGGTTGGCAATCTGGAGGCTTCCGTCTCCTGCCGTTTCCCTACCCTGCTGCGGAGGCAACGAACCGTCCCGGACAAGTCACGTCCCCTGCTTGACATAATGCAGTGAGGGAGCAAAGGACTGGCTTTATCAGCATGAATATTTATGAAGCTGCTGGTTTAGGCCATCTGACACCACTAACCGGCCACATCATTTTTTTTTAAACATTTACAAAAGTTGAAATAATTTTACAATGAACACCAACACCACCACCTAGATTCTACCACTAACATTTTGCTTTATCACACATCTCTCTGCCTATCTTCTAGTCATCCATCAAGTCATCTTTTTTTTGATACATTTGAAAGTAAATTGAAGACATTTGAATAGTTTCCCCTAAATACTTCAGCATACATAGCATTAGTTCAATTTTTTTTTTTTAGTTTTATTTTTCCTGAAAAAAACTTTCCCGTTTTTTTTTTTTTTTTTTTTTTTTTTATCGTGCTTTACCCTTTAGTCTCCACGAGGTGGAAACTTTCCGAGAAGCAGAAGCCATCTCTTGGCTCCCGCTTTCTCCCCCCTGGGCAACGCCCCACAGGGCCAGGACTGGTTGGCACACCACGTCAGATGAAGTCATCCACAGTTTATATGTCACGAAATTAAACTTCCAAGAGCGTTCCTTGCGTTCGAAAAAGAGAACTCGGGACACAGACTCGGGAAGCAGCGA